AATTATAAAGTGATAACGTCCCATGAATGCATTATTTACAACAGTCGGGATTCTAAGAAATTATGTTTTATGGCGATGTTATAGGAGAAAATGGAAACACGTCGTTCAAGCTGCAGTTACCTCCCCTTGACAGGCTGCTCCAGGCTCACATTCATATCACGGTTTCGAAGAAGTAATGTGTTAATGATTTGGGTTGACGTCTCTCAGAGACTGGGGACGTTCTACGGACGGGGTTCTTATACCAAAGAACAAAATATACGGAATGGCACATCATACAGGGTTGGTGTTTGGGCGCAAACCACACCGAGAGCCAAATTGCATTGAAGGACACATGATGGGTAAACACTAAGTACATGGGCGGATCCAGGAATTTTGAAAGGGTGGGGGTGGGGGTGTTTCAGGGGTTCGAACCCTCTGAAGCCCCGATTGGCTAAGCCAACGCGAAAAATAAATCTTCAATGTCATTTCAAGAGGGGTGGGGTGGTCGGGTCGAAACACCCCACCCACACCCCCACCCCCACCCCCACCCCCCTCTCTGGATCCGCCAATGAAGTATCATCATAAATAAGTTGGGTTTATCACCACTAGGAAATAGTATTCTAGTGTGTGTCAATAGGCCACATTAGTTCCCCATCCACCCAGCCTTTTCTGCAATGCTGAAGCCCTAAATGAAGCAAGTCTAAATTTTCTCAGGCTCAGGTTCCGAATCTCCCTTCTCACTTGGGCTCCTTTTCAATATAAAAGGAAATGTTTGTTTCTATCAGAATTATATGTATTCAGAGACTATGCGTTTGTCTAATAGTATTCCATCACTGTACTTGTGTGTCTGTTTGACGTGGGAGGAATGCCGAAGGGATGCGTTTCTCAAGGATGCTCACCACTTTGGGGAAAAGTTACCTTCTCGGGTATTGTGATGTTAAACCAAGAAACATAATCGGAGCGAACCGGGTTTCGAATCCACGACCCAAAGGTGTATCTAAGGGACACAACTCTGTACGGCGAAAGGTCCGAAGCCGTATCATGAAAAAGCAAAGGAGGATTGCCGTTTCAAAATGATCATTTCATAAAATACTATACCTGAGTCAGTGTGTGATTGAACAAGTAAGATTAATGTAGCTGAAACGTGCCGTCAACAATGAACTGTGTCTGAGGGGGCGTGCCTTCACTCTACCTACGCACGCACGCACGCACGCACGCACGCACACATACATATCAGTAATGAAGTAATAAGCAGGTCAGCGGCTCATCATCCCTTTACCGGTATCACATTAGCCAGCATCCAGAGGGATGAGCCATTCACGCCCTCTAGTCAAGGTCAATTAGCTTCTAAGGATAGGGTGAGAGAGAGGCCTTGTCATGATCGTGAGGCGGTTATAGATCAGGGCACTCTACAACAGTGGGAGGGATGGGTGTGGAGAAGGGTGTGGTCGCGGAGGGGGACAGTGCGTCATCGATTGATAGGTTGATTAAGTACATATGATCCAGGTGACGTATTATCGTTTTACAGTGTTGTGGTTGTAAAACTGGTGGGTTTAGCAGAATATGTGTAAATACAATCTGTTAGTTGAGTAATCGAACACAAGGCAGGAGTGGCGATGATCGTGGTTGGGATTTGGGCGCATTACCCACGCATTACGTTTATACTTTTCATAGATTAATCTGCACTGGGGTTTAAATGGGATAAGGATTTAAATGCAGAATTTCAAACATTTATACATGCAGATATCACTAATATTTACTGGCCTCCACATAAACTGTTACGTCTTACATAACACGGACTCAAACCGCCGATATTAATAGAGTGCATGGTAATACGATCTGCTTCTGGGCTAAATGGTTGAGATATTAGCGAGGCGACATGATTATCTCAGCCACTCAGCCTTATTAATATAAGCTGGGTACATTATAATCTCGAGTTTCAACATGTAAAGCTAACTAATAATAGTAATATTCGAGGTAAAGCTGATATGTGATGTTCGATGATGGTCTGGTTGAATCTCATATGGCTTTTGCGTGTCCTTTATGCCATCGTGAAGATGGAAACACGACACATACACGATACCTGAAGCCCTCATTCACTAATGAAACCCACCTGGCCGCCATAATGATCATATTACACACTAAACCCTCCCTGTTGCCATGACATCAAAAGCCACGCAGTGATCCGCTTGGCGCTACCTGTTTTCACAGGTGATTCAAAGATGCCGCCTGGTCCCGTGGAAGAAATTATGGAGGCGTAATCCCCCAATCACAACATACATCTCGAATTATTTCCACCATTCTTGAAGCTACAGAGTCGTAAGTGTGAACGGACAACCGCTAAACATGGCGTCCCTTGTGTTCAGTCGGCGAGCCTCGCTCCACCATCGCATGCTCGCAATGCAAAACATTGTCGCGTGCAGCTTCTTTTGGCTCTTGACTGCAATAACAGTACTTTTGACCTGGTTCGAAATATTGCCCCATTTCTACATTAAACACACCAGGATTATGGCAATACACAGATTCTGCGTGATGTATTTGTTTACGAATGTGATCGGGAATTTCCTATTATGCGTGTGCACTAAGACCAACACACGGGTATTGAAATGGGGGAGAAATCGTTATTCTGATATCAAGGGAGAGTGTGAAAGTTGCCGGTTGCCTCAACCCAAGCGCTCCCATCACTGCCGCCTGTGTCAAAGCTGCATCTTAAAGCAAGATCACCACTGTTTTTTCATGACTGTCTGCATCGGGTATTACAACCAGAAACATTTCATCATGTACTGTTTCTACATGTCCATTAGTGCACTTTACGCCGTTGTGTTATTGGCAAAATACCTCAATTCGTTATTCAACGTACAATTTTATGGGCCCCACACATTCCTGTTCCTGCTGCTAAACCTAATCAAAGACTTGTACTTCGGCAAATATCCCCCAACGTTGCAACTATTTCTTCTTTTAGTGTTGTATTCGTGTTTAATCATGGGAACTTTATCGGCTGGGTTTTTCTTTTGGCAAATGGCGATTTCTGTTAATGGTCAGACAACCCACGAAGCATGGAAGGGCGATGAAACATTTAAACTGAAGACAATTTGGGGGAACCTGGGGGATGTGTTTGGGCGTGGATGGCCCCTGTTACTGTTTCTCCCCTTCCTCTCGGCCAAACCGGCGATGGGGTGTACGGAACTCGGTTTACACGTGCGGCAAAAAAGAAACTCCGATGAGTAAACAAGCGGCCTTGTGTTGACCAGGGCGCTCATCTGGTACTGGTGTAACGGTAAATTGTGACGGGATTTGGGTGCTGAGGGATCATTTTCGGTCTCAGTATGTGGTACTGCTTGGAGCTATTACCATTTGGCAGAGATGCAGGGATATGGATGCAGCCACATCTCCAAATAGTCACAAACCATTTAGCTCCAGGAACTGTATCTTATTGCTTGACGCGTTGGTGTGATTACGGTCTGGTCGGGGAACTCGGCGACTGAATAATTCAACCCACGACAACGACATATAACGACATGCAACGTCATCTACTGCCACATCGTTATGGCCAAGTTATAAATAGTATTACCTTGTAATTGAGAAATTGAATATAGAATTATCAACTGTTGTCTTCAAGCCACAATGTAACGTGCCTCTCATCACTAATTGTCCTAAAATCCAAGTACATTTTACTTTAAAGATCTTTAGAATGTTGATATTTCTCAGCAAGACGATTGTGGGTTTATCTGAAATGTTTTCGGTATGGGACCTTTCGTATTTTCAGCAAACTGTAAATACGAGTTTGGTCTACTTTTTCTAATTTATGAAGATCTAATGGTTTAGATCATTAGATAAAAATGATGAAAAACAGGTTATAGATGTGGCTTAAATGTAAAAAGAAATTAATGTTTATGCTATAGTTTTTCTATTTTACATGTGTAGATTCTGTTCCTGTCAAGTATTTTAATAACACGTTGAGCCAAAATGAAATGGTATGCTAAGAGAGAGAGAGAGAAAGAGAGAGAGAGAGAGGGTTTCGAATGTCCGATGCTCATGATATGTGTGGATATTTAATCAAGTCAAAGCCATATTAGATAAACACACCCACGTGGATGTAATGGAATAGGATATGATGTAAATGATGAAAATTATCCCATTACTTGCATGATGCATACTTTTTTAATACTTTTATTAGCATGTAGACTTTGTTATGCATATTGATGAAATACTGATGAATTGTTAATGTTTTCGCTTCCACATTCCAGCTTCCCAATACGAAACATTAAGGAATTTGTATACCTGGCACTCGTTAATCCGGACTGTAAAAGTGTCACTTGTTTTCCAACACAGTGCATGGTGATTGCCTTTATCCAGGTCGGCAGTGTTACAAGACTGCAGTGCTATATACCTTCATCCAGGTCGGCAGTGTTACAAGACTGCAGCGCTATATACCTTCATCCAGGTCGGCAGTGTTACAAGACTGCAGTGCTATATACCTTCATCCAGTCGGCAGTGTTACAAGACTGCATGGTGATTGCCTACATCCAGTCGGCAGTGTTACAAGACTGCAGTACTATATACCTTCATCCAGTCGGCCGTGTTACAAGACTGCAGTGCTATATACCTTCAGCATTATGATCAGGTCCCGGTAGCAGTCTTGTTTATATTTGACATGTTTTTAGTGTTATATTTCTATGAAAGCAGAAAACCATTCGACGGGAAAGTTTTATATCCCAAAACGCTAGATCCGCTAGGTGGTGGTGTAACGATTGTTGACTTAGCATCTTTGCAGAATCGGCTTTGACAGTTGTTGCAGTAGTTCATTTGCTATAATAGTAGCTGTGTCTGTCTGGCACTAATAGCAGTGTTTGTATGGCAATAATAGCTGTGTCTGTGTGGCAATAATAGCTGTATCTGTGTAGCAATAATAGCTGTATCTGTGTGGCAATAATAGCTGTGTCTGTGTGGCAATAATAGCTGTATCTGTGTAGCAATTATAGCTGTATCTGTGTGGCAATAATAGCTGTGTCTGTGTGGAACTAGTAGTTTTGTCTGTGTGGCAATAGTAGCTGTGTCTGTGTGGTAATAGTAGTGGGTGAGATGCTGGTAGTGTTGTATGGGTGAGGTGCTGTATGGGTGAGATGCTGCTGTGCTGTATGGGTGAGATGCTGGTAGAGGTGTATGGGTGAGATGCTGGTAGTGCTGTATGGGTGAGATGCTGCTGTGCTGTATGGGTGAGATGCTGGTAGAGGTGTATGGGTGAGATGCTGGTAGTGCTGTATGGGTGAGATGCTGGTAGTGCTGTATGGGTGAGATGCTGGTAGTGCTGTATGGGTGAGATGCTGGTAGAGGTGTATGGGTGAGATGCTGGTAGTGCTGTATGGGTGAGATGCTGTATGGGTGAGATGCTGGTAGTGCTGTATGGGTGAGATGCTGGTAGAGGTGTATGGTGAGATGCTGGTAGTGCTGTATGGGTGAGATGCTGTATGGGTGAGATGCTGCTGTGCTGTATGGGTGAGATGCTGGTAGAGGTGTATGGTGAGATGCTGGTAGTGCTGTATGGGTGAGATGCTGCTGTATGGGTGAGATGCTGGTAGTGCTGTATGGGTGAGATGAGATGCTGCTGATGCTGTATGTATGGGTGAGATGCTGGTAGAGGTGTATGGGTGAGATGCTGGTATTGCTGTATGGGTGAGATGCTGGTAGTGCTGTATGGGTGAGATGCTGGTAGAGGTGTATGGTGAGATGCTGGTAGTGCTGTATGGGTGAGATGCTGGTAGTGCTGTATGGGTGAGATGCTGGTAGAGGTGTATGGGTGAGATGCTGGTAGTGCTGTATGGGTGAGATGCTGGTAGAGCTGTATGGGTGAGATGCTGGTAGAGCTGTATGGGTGAGGGTGAGATGCTGGTAGAGCTGTATGGGTGAGATGCTGGTAGTGCTGTATGGGTGAGATGCTGGTAGAGCTGTATGGGTGAGATGCTGGTAGAGGTGTATGGTGAGATGCTGGTAGTGCTGTATGGGTGAGATGCTGGTAGAGGTGGTAATGTATGGGTGAGGATGCTGGTAGAGGTATATGGGTGAGATGCTGGTAGAGGTGTATGGGTGGGGCGCTGGTAGTGTTGTATGGGTGAGGTGCTGGTAGTGCTGTATAGGCTAGGTGCTGGTAGTGTTGTATTGGCGTGGGACCGGTAGTGCTTTATAAACGTTGCGATTGTAGTGTTGCATGGGCGTGACGCTGATAGTGAGGTATGGGCGAGACACATTTCAGGTGTTGGTAGTTCCTTGTTGAAACAGTAGACGTTCATATTCTCAGTGCATAAAGTACACGTGCTGTGATTGTTATCCCTCAGAAACGGCGTGCCTTCTTCAATTATGGGACAACCAAACACCAAAATCAACTGATGAGTACTCTCCGCTTCACTCCGTAATATTAGCATGACTTGGTTTAGTTTCTAATCGCTGAAACATCCACTGTGGGGCAGGTTCAGACGGTGTTAACTTCACCGATAATTTTAATGTCCCTGACAAGGGCTTCATCGAACAACTTTACGATCGTGACCAATTGTTTGCTGATTGCCGGCCATTAAACCTATTTCTAGAATGTGGTTGGGTCGAACCCGCAGCCATCACTTATTGACGTTTGAACCGTGCACACTTCGTTGTGCACAATTGAATACGGGTCACTGGGAAAATGTGTGTATCCCACAAACTCGCAATTAGGCCCTTCCTCAGCGTGTTCTATCGCCAGTGCAAGGAGTACTGCGAACCGATGCCACTGCAGACACCAGATATATACTCGATAGTTTCTTGACGTCTTTGTTTGTCAACTGGAATTCTGTACTAATTTACATTATTAAAGTATGCAAAAAGGTGACATTAACCTATTATATATCACCACACAAGCGTTTAAAACCTACCAATAATGTTACCAAATATATTGCGAACGTCGGGCATTATACGACGCCTCTTTTGGTTCCAAATACCTCCTCCACGTGTTCATCGCTGGAGCCACAGCTTTGTGTAGTAGTAAGTGTCTGAAATCGGCCATTTGTGTACAGCCTGGCAATTTCTTTCCATTCGTGATTGTAGCTCCTCCTTGCGTTCAGGTTCCTCCAGGACACGGGCAGGTTCGGGTTACAACAGGTAGTCAGCAAACAATCCTTGTCATAGAAGGCGACTGACGACCGTTTAGGATCCCTACCTTGGTTGATGCAGATCATCGTATCCCAGTGGGTCGATGCTCATGATATCAATCACTGGATCGTCTGGTTCAGACTCGAGTTAGTTGCAGACCGTCATCATATAGCTAACATATTGCTGAGTACGACATTAAACGAAAGGTAATGCCCATGATTTTCGGGTGGCTTGTTTGCTTTTGCTGACGTCGTTGAAGACCTTCTGTTGTTAGGTTAATTAAATTTCAATGTTTACATGCTTTTCGTGTCATGTCATGCTGTCGTTGTATAAGGTAAACAATTGTCCAGTTCGTTCTTGCAAACATGAAAACATTGATATGTGCGGTATTCATGACGTGCCCAAGAGATATAACTCCGCACTGTGGATTACGGCTACTGAGAGAGACTGAGCCACTTCAGGCCCATGTGCAGATTTCGTGGGATTGGACCAAGTTTTGTAGAGTCAGATCGAACAGTAATCGTAATATAATCATAGTGACCATTACCGTGTCAGAGTAAAACTGACCCTTTGTTCATAAACTCGGACACATGACAGGTGGAGCGTGTCATTTACATCAAGAGTTACTATATGACGTTATCATACACATTATTATTTACCATCAAACTTGGGTACTGATTGAACGAACTCACTGAGGACCGAGGTCCATACCCATTGACAGAGATCTGATACGCAGTTCCCAATATTTGTGAACAGGTCAGGTTTTACATCCAGCTAATAAGTCAAAGTGCAGGGATGTGAAGGCGGAGGATCTCGTGGTCAGAGGCAAATCGGTAACTGACTATTTCCATGACGTTGATTAAACTGAAATGATTGGTACTATTAGGATTGTGGACAGCTCTTACAAAATCGAACGCATTGTGGATGGCCAGTGGGACTTTGCGGACAGCAGTGACCGATTGGGACGTGGTGATGGTCAGGGGTGAACGATCGCTCTTCTCTCCCAACTGGTGAACCTTACCCAGCGTATTCACCTGGATCAATCAAGATCGCCGTTAGATTGGGTGGGATAGCCCAGAGTATTACACCGCGTGCAGAGGAGTGCGCACCTCCCTTTTTGTCCTAAAAGTTTGTTCAATGACCGTTGAAACTCTGGTGAAAATGAAGTGTGCACCCACCCACCCACCCACCCACCGCCTTTTCTCAACAGTGTCACACCCTAATATAGAGACGAGGCGAATGACTCTGACAGTCTGACCAGTAGTAGTCTGACTCTGACAGTCTGACCAATAGAAGTTTGACTCTGACAGTCTGACCAATACAAGTCTGACTCTGACAGTCTGACCAATACAAGTCTGGCTCTGACAGTCTGACCAATACAAGTCTGACTCTGACAGTCTGACCAATACAAGTCTGACCAATACAAGTCTGACTCTGACAGTCTGACCAATACAAGTCTGACCTTTTCGGTTAGTTCACCAGTAGGATTTGACCTTTCGACTAGTTCACCAGTAGGATTCCTATGGAATCCAAGAAAGTCAAAGTCACCACCTTACCAGCCTGTTCAAGATCCCCGTGAGAGATGAACCTGGAGCGATCAGTATTAAAAAACTTTAGGCTTGTTAAAACCTTTTCATGCCCTGTTGATTCCTGAGACCTCCCGCATGAGAGACGACCACTTACTGGCTGTGTGACGTGTGGTGAGTCTTCCACCACTCATAATCATATAGTCACAGTCTTCATCAGTGGTGACGACAGAAGAAGGCGTCTCTCTCTCTCTCTCACTCATAATCATATAGTCACATTCTTCATCAGTGGTGACGACAGAAGAAGGCGTCTCCCTCTCTCTCTCACTCATAATCATATAGTCAGTCTTCATCAGTGGTGACGACAGAAGAAGGCGTCTCTCTCTCTCTCTCTCTCTCTCTCTCTCTCTCTCTCTCTCTCTCACACACACACACACACACACACACATAGAGTTATAGTCCCATCGGGTACCCATTTTCTGCTGAGTGAACAAACTCACTTGCCTAAGGTGAGACCACATGTATCACATGGTCTTCGTTGTTGGGCAGGATTGAAGTCCCAGAACCTGTCAAGATTCAAGCTGCCAAACACGGTCACCCATCCAAGTATTCTACGCGCCAAACTTTGCTTAACTTCAACTGATTTGTGACCCGAGCTCTATGCAAAGGACCACACACCAACACATTAAAGTTTATACAATTGAAGAACAGAGCAATTTATTTTCACCATCATCGAACAATTAATCAAACCGATGCACTCAGCGTGTCAGGTACGTGTAAACATCATCTCCCAGGCCTCTGTGTACTGGGTCCATCAGAAGCTGTATCTTCCATTACCTAAGGTCTGTCACTCCAGTCGAGTCACGACCCGGGGCGACATACAGCACGTATACCACTACTGAACAATTACTGATCGATTGCAATGTACACTTGTTACTGGCATCCGCCACTGCTGAAACCATGCTGCTATACATATGGTCTATATAGAGAAGAGATTAGTGTTGATATCTACATGTAATATAAAGTCACGTTACAGCGTCTGGAACAATCTCCGTACAGCGTCTGATGGTCCCGGTATTGGTTGTATTATTGGCCTGCTAATTCAAACTATGAACCTATTTGTGTTTTTCATGAAAAAAAGCCCACCTGGCAGCACAATAAGTTTGTGGCAATGCTCATCCGGCAATATCTCTCAACTTACAACGCGCGTTTCAAAATGCCAAATAGCCGCATGTGTCTTCTGCACTTCAACATTCTTCCAACCTATATTATCAAGCCTTGCTGGGAAAAATAGTGACAGCTCAAATCAGACTACAGAGCCAAAAACAATGCTGCAAAGATACCTGTCATTGAGCAATGAGGACGGGGAAGACGTCGTGTGCTGCGGCGCGTCTAGCAGCAGGGTGGCCGAGACAGATCCGAAACCGTGGCCACAAAATATAGCATTTATTACAAATAACAGCATTTCATGAATTATAGATAGCGCTCATGAAGTGTGATTACTGGTGTGTGTTGAGAACCGTGTGGCGACAACCACGATGGAGACGAGCAATGTTTGGAACATCATCTACGCCGATTAACTGACGGCAGAGTCGACGCCGCAAGCAAGGGCAGATGGACGCTAGCTGCGGACACTGACGTGAAATGTAACTTTCCTTTACGTTGAGATGTCTCTGTACAAATCATAGCCGAAACTATGTGGTAAAAGTCTTTTGTGAAACACCGTCATTCGGGACGGGCTTGTTCTGTGACATCGGCCTGGTTAGCTGGTTTTACCCTGATCATCGTATCATGAAAACATTGTAACGTGATATCATTGTAGTCCGGTACTGAGTATATAGTTTGTGGACTTTTTGACACGATCACGGCGAAATTAAAGAGGTCTCCGTACTATACGATGGCAGTCGCTCCAAGTATTTCCCGACAAATACGACAATCCAAGACTAAAGGGGTTCCCTGATTCACAAGATGAAAGCTAAAGGAGCTTCTCTACACTGGAGATGTTTGTGAGACCTTGTCTTCGACAGATCACTGGGGTCATTCACTGTTCGATTGAGGACCACAGTCAGCTATATATCACCTAACCCTAACCCGTCACTTCGAAAATTCGGACGAGTAGAATAATTTGGTAACTCAGCGTTATCTTCCCCGGACAAACCTACTGGCGGTACTTAACTAATAACAACGTCGGCATTGTGTTGCTTAAATAAAAGTTGCTTTAATAAAATTTGGGATGTTCATTTTTATAACACCTGTTTTTAGTTTTCGGAGTTATCATGCTAATTTTGCAAATGTTATGCAAGTTAGAAAGTATATTTGCAATTATACTTCCTTCCAGTTAAGAAAAATACAGCAGTTAATTTTCCTTCTGATGCTTTCATCTTAACACGATGAAAATTTTATTTCATTACTCAGATACATAACTCTTTTGTCAATGCACCTCTGGCAAGTGAACACATGTCATCGTATCCCAGTTGCATAGATCGATGCTCATGCTCTTGATCACTGGATTATCTGGTCCAGACTCGATTACTTACATATACCTGGCAAATTACTGAGAGCGGCGTAAAATTAAACTCAATCACTCACTCACTTTGGCAACTGAGGCAGGAGAGCTTCAGGACTGCAGCGAGTGCAAGTAGAAGGCATGCCATCTGTTCCACAGGCACCAATTATCTACATCTGATTCTGGATTGATTCCTACCAGTTAATCAGAAAACCATTCTACTGGATGAATGCTGTTCCTCAGTTTCATTGGCCAACACGTTCAGTACATCTGGAGAAGTGTGATTGTGTTGTCTGTGCCCTTGCCCAGCCCAATCAGGGCATCTCTTACAGTGATTCAAACAGTACCTGTTACCAATGTCAACAACACCATACAGACACAATATAATTCCTTCCATTGAAAATTGCCAAACATATGATGACATCCCTTTAAAGTCGGTTAACATGAAGAGTCTTTAAAAGTCAACAACTAACTCTGCGTGGGTGGGATCAAACATGTCACGTGAGCAGATGATTGACATTTGGACAGCTTGCTGTCACCCTGCATGATACAATCATATTAATACCCTTTGACATCTAATAAAATGATTCAATTTACTGGCAATCGTTGGTCGGTGTTCTTGTGCAGGGCATGCTCTATCGAGGCCAGATGGGATATAACAAGCTGATTCATTTGAAAATAAAATAACATTGACGCAAAGCAAACTGGCCAGACATACGGTATACATTGGTTGACTGGCTGTTAATCAATGACGCTCTTGGTTATTGTCTTTGAATTAATTTTCTTTTTAATTATTTTGTTAAATTGTCTGTTTATAAAAGAATAACAGAATGGAGCACAGATAACCTGAGCTTTTCACAAACATTAAGCTGTCATTGAGTCAAAGCTGTCTCCAACCTTCTCTGACTGTTCGGTGACAGTTGATCAGTGGTGTTTCTCTTTCATCAGTAAGACACAAGTTATGTACACATCTGACTTGATGTTGATCAGTTAATTCCCGTTAATCCATCCGAACCTGAAGATAAACAAATGTCAGGATTAAAGAATCGATGAGAAAGATACGATGCTATGTGGCATAAACTTTACTGAGATAATCATAACATTGGTGTCAGGAAGGTAGGACTTCCAGATTGGCGAGGGTTACTGTACACAACCCTTGAGGTAGGACTTCCAGATTGGCGAGGGTTACTGCACCGTACGCAACCCTTGAGGTAGGACTTCCAGATTGGCGAGGGTTACTGTACACAACTCTTGAGGTAGGACTTCCAGATTGGCGAGGGTTACTGTACACAACCCTTGAGGTAGGACTTCCAGATTGGCGAGGGTTACTGTACACAACCCTTGAGGTAGGACTTCCAGATTGGCGAGGGTTACTGTACACAACCCTTGAGGTAGGACTTCCAGATTGGCGAGGGTTACTGCACCGTACACAACCCTTGAGGTAGGACTTCCAGATTGGCGAGGGTTACTGCACCGTACACAACCCTTGAGGTAGGACTTCCAGATTGGCGAGGGTTACTGCACCGTACACAACCCTTGAGGTAGGACTTCCAGATTGGCGAGGGTTACTGCACCGTACACAACCCTTGAGGTAGGACTTCCAGATTGGCGAGGGTTACTGCACCGTACACAACCCTTGAGGTAGGACTTCCAGATTGGCGAGGGTTACTGCACCGTACACAACCCTTGAGGTAGGACTTCCAGATTGGCGAGGGTTACTGCACCGTACACAACCCTTGAGGTAGGACTTCCAGATTGGCGAGGGTTACTGCACCGTACACAACCCTTGAGGTAGGACTTCCAGATTGGCGAGGGTTACTGCACCGTACACAACCCTTGAGGTAGGACTTCCAGATTGGCGAGGGTTACTGCACCGTACACAACCCTTGAGGTAGGACTTCCAGATTGGCGAGGGTTACTGTACACAACCCTTGAGGTAGGACTTCCAGATTGGCGAGGGTTACTGTACACAACCCTTGAGGTAGGACTTCCAGATTGGCGAGGGTTACTGCACCGTACACAACCCTTGAGGTAGGACTTCCAGATTGGCGAGGGTTACTGCACCGTACACAACCCTTGAGGTGAGGAAAACAGGAAGTGGATTCAGCTGTATTGCTGCTGCTTTGCTGCTGATCGATGATCGATGATTACTGATGGTGATCACTGCGCCGAGTAGATGCGCAGTGTGCTGAGAAGGACAGCAACCCTACAGAGTCCTTCGGCTGGCCTGAAAAGTGGGACAGAAGGCTTTTTAAGAGGATCAGGACAAGTCACCTCCCACTTCCCAGTCGACAATGTGTGACTTCGCAACTATATGTAAATATGAAAGGAAATATGAAACTATGCAATGAATTTATTGAGACTAGCCAACACCTGATCAGTTGCGCAATCACCTAAGCGTAGTTCCTTTACGTTATTAACGTCTTTGCCATACTTGTGGTTTAGACTTTGAGGTCTTTCCATGGTACGACCCAGGGTATGTAGAGGGCTGCTACTAGCCCGTGCAGACCCGGGTTAAACTTAGTCTACAGTAACCTACGCTTGTCGTAAGACGCGACAAACGGGATCGGGTGGTCAGGCTTTCTGACGTTGTTGACAAACATGTCATCGTATCCCAGTTGCGTAGACTGATGTTCATGCTGTGATCAATGGATTGTCTGGTCCAGACCGTTGCCATATAGCTGGAATATTGCTGAGTCCGGCGTTAAACAACAAACAACTACTACTTTTCACCACCATCACTTCCTCTGCTGCGCTAATACTAATTATCATCGTACTTATACGCATATCCTTCATCCAGTTGAGGTACCAATATCTAGCCGTGATCATTCCTCCGAGAACATACCGTCTTTGCCATCATCTCAATTACAGACCATACACAGTTTCAGATTAGGCAAAAACACGCTCGCGTGCGCAGTGGCCACAAGCCATCACATCCATGTATTGGCCTCGGCCAACCTCGTGAGCTGTAATCGAACAAACATTTCACCTTGAGACCGAAACTACTTTGTCCATTCACGTGCTCCATTGGTGTCCTAGTTTCAGTGACTGCCACAGGCGGTAATCAGTTAATGAAGTGTCCCATCTGATTGTATCAACACCCACTAACGAACACAGTTCCAGGGCGTTACATCCAGGGCTGTCAACAAATGGCCAGTTTGGTCAATACTGTACATTGTTCAGGTGACCGGCCCCAGTGAGGTCATGTCAACTAACTGTATATAACCAGTGGTTTCTGTTATGTGTGTATCAAAATGATGCAACATCTCGATCTGTTGTGTCCAGATAGCCGTGCTCCAAGGCTGTACTGAATGCTAAGCCCATGGATAAATAGTAATTCTATCCTTTCAAGTGGCAAGCCTAGACAAGCGGACAGTACAATCTAAGGACGTCAGTATGTTATTCATATTCTTTAGAAATTATAATTTATACTATAAATTATTACCTTAGAGACTTGTGCAGGTCTTGTGTCCAGTCATCGTCCGTGAACGAGAAGGACGGATGTTATTTGTAGTTACCGTGGCGTAAATGCTCAGTGCTACAGACCCTGATACATATACCATCTAGTTCGGGTGAAATGAGGATTCAGTGGATGCTGACATTTCTAAGGGACGCAACACTGCAAGGGCAGAGACCAAGGCCCCAACCATGGATTCTATCATACACTTTCCAGAAACTACCAATCACCTTTCCGATGCTCCTGAGAACTTGTCATAACAGTTCTAACCAAACATGCACTTCTCTCAGGTCATCTTCCTCCCGACACCTCTCTCATTATAATTCTGCCATGAAACCTCCGTTCAGGGAGGTCTCTTGTGAAACCTCTGTCATGGCACCTCGGCCCCGACAGCTATCTAAGGACATCTCTGTCATGGCACCTCGGTTCCCACACCTCTGCACGATACCCCTTTCATGTCAGCGCTCACTCAAACACTCTTTCCTGTCACCTCCCACCCGCCTTATCTCTCCAACATTTCTCTCCTCACATCTCCAAACTGGACGGTTTCTCTCTACACGGCCCCATCAGCTTATCTCCTCTACCCTGTACACTGGCAATAAAACATGAATCATTAACACAGCCTTTGCTCCTACAAGAAAGCGAGACTGGAGCGATAAAAGATTGGCCAATTCAGTTATAAACCTGCCGTAACTGAATTGCAAGTGCGACCATAGCCAGGAGTCATCGGTCTAGAACTCAGGCCAGACGCCGCGGTACAAAAATGATGGCCTAAGCATGTAAACCGCACATACACCACACTAAAATACCAGCAGTTGGACCAGACAATTTGTTCTTACTGCAACCAAGCCGTATAACATCCGAAAATACAATCAGCTGAACTGGATAATTGTCCCTTACTGACAGGGCTCTACAACGAAACCCGCAATATATCCGACATCTTGCTTGAACTGTGATTAACCCTCGTCCCACACGTTTCCGGACCTGTCTGAAACTACACTCCGAGGATCGGTTGTCAGGAAGGTACTATTTCATGTCTGTATTTACGGACGGGATGCCACCTCTTTGGACAGCCGGCAGTCTCACAACAGGTTCGACTCCCCACGTGGGTATATTGATTGGAGCCCATCCATTGTGCCGGGTCGCACCAGCGTTAATCAGTCCGGAAAGACAAAACAAGGGCGCCTGCCGCCAGTATTGGGGATGGTGTGTGTGTGTGTGTGTGTGTGTGTGTGAGAGAGAGAGAGAGAGAGAGAGAGAGAGAGAGAGAGAGAGAGACAGAGACAGAGACAGAGAGAGACAGAGACAGAGAGACAGACAGACAGACAGACAGACAGACAAAGTTTTGTTACACAGAAACCGTTGAGAGTGTACCACATCAAGTTACTCAGACCTTCTCAGTCATCCTCCTATCACTATGTCTTTGAAATAGGATCTTAGATTATTAATTCGGTTCATATTTAAAGTTGTTTCGAACATATTTTAGTCACCAGTCTTGAAACCACAAAACAGAGAGTAACTCAAAGTGTCCAGAAAGAGCGTCGATTTTACATGTTTGAAACCTAGTTATAAGAAATTGCAAATCCTCAGACTGGCCAAGCTGATGAAGGCGTATTAACGTTCAACAAAGTCCCAGAAAGCCTCACAACTTCTTGTGGCAAGAAGAGTAGGCTAAAACTTCATGAAAACGAACTACATCCCACCGGGGTCGTGGAGACTAACTGGGTCTCATCGGGGTCGTGGAGACTAACTGGGTGTCACCGGGGTCGTGGATACTACCATTATCTCACTGGGCTCATCGAGATTAACTGCATCTCATAGGGGTGGTGGATACTACCTTCATCTCACTGGGCTCATCGAGATTAACTGCATCTCATCGGGGTCGTGGAGATTATCTGCATCTCATCGGGGTCGTGGATACTACCTTCATCTCACTGGGCTCATCGAGATTAACTGCATCTCATCGGGCTCATGGAGATTAACTGCATCTCATCGGGGTCGTGGAGATTAACTGCATCTCATCGGGGTCGTGGAGACTAACTGCATCTCATCGGGGTCGTGGAGACTAACTGGGTCTCACCGGGGTCGTGGAGACTAACTGCATCTCAGTAGGGTCATTGAAATTAACTACGTCCCCGGAGTCGTCGAGACTAAGTTTCACTGAGACCACGCAGACTAACAAGGTGTCAGCTACGTGTCACCTGTGTCGGTTATGGGTACTGAACAATACTAACCCCAGCACGGATACAGATGAGGGCTCACCATTGCGGAGACAAATTGTGGAATTAGTCATAATTCTTTAGAATACGTGAAGATTCAGTAAAAGCAGACCGAAACTCCATGCATCGGAAGAGGTCCCCGCGCCATGCTAACTCTAAACGCGGCTTCCAGCTGGCTTTGTGTTGCGAGTTTATTCAGTAGCAGTCTTGAATGTTGATGCAAAGCAGACAGTGGACTTCTCTCAACGTCACTTCTGACAAGTACAAAATGAAAATACCAAACTGCACAATCAATCTTTTTGGGAAGCCACAACAGCAAAGGCAAACGTAGGAATAAGGGGAGGTAACTGGATGATGGACATATTGCTTTCAAGTCATGCCTGGCCCTTCATCGCGGTACCGGTCGTGATCACTGACCACTGTCCAATTCTGGTGTCCAAGTTCTGAATCTGAATACAAAACAAATCAGACACACACCAGGTCGGGGCTCCACTAATATAGATTGTATTCTGTATCAGCGATGAAGTGAGCGATTTAACGTCCGATCAAGGAAGATATGATGTCTGATGACAATATCTGCTTCTTTATAAGGTTTGGTGACGAAAGGCGATGTCTGGCGATTAATGCTGAAGCTTGATAACGATGATACCTGGTACTGATGCGTGGTTGTTGATGATGCCATGTAAAGATGTCTGACGATAATGCTGATGGTGACTGATGATGTCTGACGATAATGCTGATGGTGACTGATGATGTCTGACGATAATGCTGATGGTGACTGATGATGTCTGACGATAATGCTGATGGTGACTGATGATGTCTGACGATAATGCTGATGGTGACTGATGATGTCTGACGATAATGCTGATGGTGACTGATGATGTCTGACAATAATGGCTGATGGTGACTGATGATGTCTGACGATGATGGCTGATGGTGACTGATGATGTCTGACGATAATGGCTGATGGTGACTGATGATGTCTGACGATAATGGCTGATGGTGACTGATGATGTCTGACGATAATGATGGCTGATGGTGACTGATGATGTCTGACGATAATGGCTGATGGTGACTGATGATGTCTGATGTCTGACGATAATGCTGATGGTGACTGATGATGTCTGATGATGTCTGACGATAATGGCTGATGGTGACTGATGATGTCTGACGATAATGGCTGATGGTGACTGATGATATCTGACGATAATGGGTGATGGTGACTGATGATGTCTGACTGATGATGTCTGACGATAATGGCTGATGGTGACTGATGATGTCTGACGATAATGGCTGATGGTGACTGATGATGTCTGACGATAATGGCTGATGGTGACTGATGATGTCTGACGATAATGGCTGATGGTGACTGATGATGATTGATGTCTGATGTCTGACGATAATGGCTGATGATGATGTCTGATGATCTGACGATAATGCTGATGATGATGGTGCTGACGATAATGGTGATGGTGACTGATGATGATGATGTCTGACGATAATGGCTGATGGTGACTGATGATGTCTGACGATAATGGCTGATGGTGACTGATGATGTCTGACGATAATGGCGATACTGATGGTGACTGATGATGTCTGACGATAATGCGATAATGGCTGATGGTGACTGATGATGTCTGACGATAACGATAATGCTGATGGTGACTGATGATGTCTGACGATAATGGCTGATGGTGACTGATGATGTCTGACGATAATGGCTGATGGTGACTGATGATGTCTGACGATAATGGGTGATGGTGACTGATGATGTCTGATGTCTGACGATAATGCTGATGGTGACTGATGATGTCTGACGATAATGGCTGATGGTGACTGATGATGTCTGACGATAATGGCTGATGGTGACGATAATGATGATGTGACTGATGATGACGATAATGCTGATGGTGACTGATGGTGACTGATGATGTCTGACGATAATGGCTGATGGTGACTGATGATGTCTGATGTCTGACGATAATGGCTGATGGTGACTGATGATGTCTGACGATAATGGCTGATGGTGACTGATGATGTCTGATGATGTTTGATGATGATGCTGAAGATGATGACTGATGATGTCTGTGATGACTGATGAAGATGTCCAATGATATCTGGTGATATCTTACGATAATGACTTTGATGATGTCTGAATATGCTATGACATGGGATGATGGTTGATGATGATGTCTGTGAGGTCTGATGAAGATGTCTGTTGATGTTTGACGACAGTGGCTGATGGTGACTGAAAATGATCTGAGATGAAGTTTGGGTTGAGTTTAGTTTTACGCCGCACTCAGCAATATTCCAGCTATATGGCGGTGAGATGATGTCTGGTGATGGATATGATATGTGATTATGTTTAGTGATGCCAAGTGATAGATATGTAATGTGACTGATCATGTTTCATCATAATATCTGATGATTTCTGGTGGTTATTCCTGTGATGTCAGATCCATATCTGTGACGTTGTCGTTGTCGGTGAAGCCATGTGGTGTGTGGATAATTGATCGAGAGTCACTGGATAAACTGTAATATACAAAAAACTAAAATACACAAGAAATCAAGCAACAAATCTATAATACGGATGTTTTTACATGCATCCAGGCAGAACATCCAAATAGTGAAAAAAAATTACAATAAATTGAAAGCAGAGTTTGACTTCACTTATTAAATAGCTTGAATTATTTTTAACTTTAACACTGAAGTGAAAAAAAGAAAACTTAAATCGTGGGAATCTTGAATATTAAAGAAATAACACTACTGCCAATATATTTTGTTATTTCCTGACGCACAGCGAACAAATGTAATACCCTCGTTTCCTTTCAAAAGGATACAATTGCTGCCCCAAATCACGCCATGTTTCCCGTTTAGTATCGACTCATTAAAACTGAACTTGAAATCCTCAGAGACCTTTCTTCTCCTCTCTCAAGGAGTCAAGAGCACGGTTAGAGAATCGCGTCGTATCGTTTACAGCCCCAAGTAGAGGCTGAATATGTCATTGCAACTCTCTTTTTTTTGGACAACTTCCAGAACGTTCTGTATCCTATCATGCTACAACCAAACCCCAAGACTGACGTGATTGAGGCAACATCCACCACCACCCCTCCCCCCATCTCTCCCCACACCAAACCCCAATCTGGAGTAGAGTCACTATGTCTGTGCAGGCCAACCACGTTGGACATGACGCCGCTATGGCAGGGGCCCAGACTTGCTAGATATCGATAATTATATTGGGATATTTCATTCCAGCTTTCGTCTGGGATATTATGGCTGCCACATGTCATGGTACAAGTTTGATGGATATTGGTGCAGGTTTATTGGGCTGGGTCACGGAGGGGTGTATTTGGCATACGGGAACTCCAGTCTCTATGTGTGTATTGATTGGATGCCGAAACTTGCTCAAAGTAAATTGTTTGTTCTTTGAACTGATTGCTTGGCTTTGAATCCTGTTATAACTGAAGCCATTTGAAATTTGTTACCGTATTTCATAATGTTGATCATATTGCGATCAGTTTCGATTTAGAAAATGTGTACGTCCCTTCACTCACCAGCTTGTGCATCTCTCCACTGTTCCACGTATACACTCCTTCACTCATTCATGTGTACACCACCCACATACACACACACTTTTCCACGTGTACGCTCATTCACTCATCCCTTCCCCCAGCAACGTGTTCATCCCTTCCCCCAGCAACGTGTTCGTCCCTTCCCCCAGCAACGTGTTCATTCCCCCTCACAGCCTCGTGTTCATTCCTACCCCTAGCTACGTGTTCATAAGTTCACACAGCAACGTGTTCGTCCCTTACCCCAGCCTCATGTTCATCCCTTCGCCCAACAACGTGTTCATCCTTTCACCCAGCCTCGTGTTCATCCTTTTTTCCCAGCCACGTGTTCATCCCTTCCCCCATCCACGTGTTCATCCCTTCAACCCCCACGTGTTCACTCCTTCCCCCCAGCCACGTGCTGATCCCTTCCCCCAGCCATGTGTTCAATTGTTAAACCACTCACCTGTACATTCCTTCGCTTTTTCTTAAATCACTTTGATACAATGTAATTCTATCAAATATATATTAATGCAAAACACTTCTAGAATGGAAACAGTACTGATGACAATTAAATCAGCTTGTAGCCTATAATAATTTTCTATGAATGCCGAGTGTGAACGCTGCCATTCAGGCATTCTGCTTATTACATTACCATGAACAGAATGATAGCACCCTTTAAGTAAAACGTAGAACTCATGAAGTAAGAATGATTTTCGAAAAACAAAATCAAATTTAGCAAGGGATGAATCTGGCGTTTGGCCATCTGTGGGAGCTGTTTGATTAGTCTCGAGGGGCTTTTGGTATGTTTATCCAGGTGTACGGGAATGAAAATCAATTTTAGAAAATGGAAAACATCTTCTTTTCCTTTTTTCTGCGCCCAGTCACGTTTTTTTAACTGTTAACTTATCAGAAAAGACAGAATCAAGTTTGGGTGAGAATTCATAATGGATTGTTTTGCTCTACAGTCGAGAGTCGGTGGTAAACACACAGTCGGTGTTTGGGAGGTAGTACAAAGAATCAACGAGACAGAATGTTTCCAATAGCGGGTCAGTTACAAAATAGCAAGTAGAGATTTTAATGAAAACTGAATCTCAGTTTCCGAAACGAATAGGATTAGACTTGATTAGATCAGTCCGTAATAGTTTCCAATGGCTGGTAGTATAGCTGTATGGTGTATGCCATCCCAATCCTCTTATCATCGTCTTGGTCACAGGTGGCAAAGGTGACACTCTCAGACCGACCGTGGCCCCACGACAGCAAAATTTCACCTTCAGACGTACCGACCTTGACTCAAAGTCAGCAATATTTCACCTTCAGACGTACCGACCGTGACTCCATGACAGCAACATTTCACTCTCAGATTCGTACCGACCGTGACTCCATGACAGCAACATTTCACTCTCAGATTCGTACCGACCGTGACTCCATGACAGCAACATTTCACTCTCAGATTCGTACCGACCGTAACTCCATGACAGCAACATTTCACTCTCAGATTCGTACCGACCGTCTTCTGCAACAAGTAACACTTAAATGTCAGACATCCGTCCTTTTCAACAATCTGTACAATCCAAGAACTGTTCCTAAACTATGTGTTAACGGTAAATGTATTTCAGCAATCTTTACATTGGTATATCGCTGCAGCTGCACGCAAAGTGTCCATAGCGACCAGAATTGTTCCTTGGGGGAATCAATATTTCATTATTTTGACAGCTTGGAATATTTTCTCCAATAAATTGTGATTGGAAGTATATAGCTGCCCGCCACAGTGAACAGCAAGTGAGGCCGAAGTCCCTTCCTGCGCCATGTTCGTAGACCGAAGTGCCCAGTGAGTCAGGTAAATGGTTCCTTCATTCCCAGGGATCTCTGCCTTCATACAAGTCCCTCCGTCCTCTCAATCATCACTGACAGGCAGTAGGAATTGATCTCCAACCTAAATAGCTCTTCATTTCCTCTGTTGTAGGGATATCCCTTTATGAATGAAACATTTCCTTTTTATATCTGTTTCGATATTTTATGAAAGCAGAACCCGGCCATTCTGTCAAGTGTCCAACAAACGTCACGTTACACTTTGGTATCATGCTCTCTGTTGAGAAGGTGACAGTGTCACGTACTACGTCACTAGGTCAATACGAGATCTGTGTATTACCTGTAGACACACATGCATTTCAACAACCTATTTGGATTAATCTATTTATGGCCAGTACATAACATTGTGTTGGGAAAGACGGTTTGATTAAAGGCGAATACCTCCGCGCAATTCCGATTAGCGGGTGTCGTGTTGTGGAGTTGTCTTCTCCTAGATACAGAGCTTCCAGGGCGTGCAATCAAACACCCCGTCACCCATTCGCCGACGTCAGGCTTTGATTTCATGAGTTTATTTCAATGGTCGGGCGGCTTATTTGATATACTCCTGCTACGTCGCGAACGTCACCTAGGCAACGTACAAGCATTGAAATATCACCGGAGTGAGACGCCCCTTAACTGACCGGAAATACAAAGAAAACGTTTCCCAGTAGTGTTAGATGACTTCCGCTCGGCGTCGTAATGCGCGTTCGGCTTCTGACCGTACTGACATCTATCACAGTCCACGACCGGGGTGACCGGTGCAGATTATTGATCGGCTAAGATCGATCGTATCTTTAGTTATCACAACACACTCTTCTTGACAACTTACGACCGTCTTCTGGAGACAACTGTTCGATGCTGCGTTCGAGATGGTCAGTCAACAAAGTGTTTCAAATCAAGAACGATCTTTTTCGATAGTTGAAAATACAGGAACATGTATTTTTGTCTTACAAATAATGCGCAGTTGCCTTATTTATGTACATAATTGTCACATAATGACAACAATGGTGCTTGTTGGCAGGTGCGTTGGTATGTCATGTGCCAGAAACTCATTTTGGGTGTTCCATTCTTGTCCTGTGTTGCAGGATGATCCGACGCTGTTTCATTAATGCATTGTCTAGTGGACCTACCCTGCAAGTATCGATTATCAAAACGATGAATACACTTGACACTATTTATATATCCGCAAGTGACATAACCTCTTACATCGGTGCTCTATCGAGTGACCGACCATTTCTATTTCGCCCAGTAATTTAGATGTTGTCGTGTCATTCGAGTCTGGTTTTAAAGCGAAGCCATGATGGCGACTGGGTCACTATTGACTGACTGACTGACTGAGTTT